TGAAATGCGATCAGAGTCGACTTCAGACTTGCTTGCAACATGCATACACACAGACTGATGGCAACACCAAACTCGTCAACTCAGAATCAACAACGGACTTGCACTTACTCTGAACACAGGTCCTGGGTTGTGGTCAGCGCAAACAACCATAGACGTAGTGAAATGCAATCAGACTCGACTTCAGACTTGCTTGCAACACACACACACACACTGCACACACTGCACACACTCCACACACCCACACAAAAAACAATCTATGTATAAAACTATCCTGATATATCACCCTTACCCGCCGCAATGTCTGCATCGACCTCTGCCTCCTCCTCGTCCTCAACACCCCCTTCGAAATCAAGGTCGCTCGATAATGCCGACGTGCTCGAGCCTGATGTGGCCGCTAGTGCTGCCCTCGTCGTTGTCTCTCCCCTGCGCCTCCTGGTAATGCGCAGCGCTATGCCCTCCTCGGCCTTGGTGCTCGATGATGTGACTGGCGCTACGTCCGCATGAACGCCTCTAAGACTTCCATCTGCAGGGGATCTCCTCTGTGGTGCACCACCCCCTCGTGCCGTGCCACGTCCCTCTCCTCTCCCCAGTCCAGGTGATCGGCCTTTGGGACGTCCCTCTCCTCTCCCGCGCCCCACTCCTCTCCCGCGCCCCACTCCTCTCCCGCGTTCCTGTTGTGACATATCCCTCTCGCCTGCGCCCCTCCCCTCTCTCGATGGTCGACCTCGGCCTCTGCCACAACCTGCAGCTCCCCTGGCCTGCTTTCTCGCGACACTCTCAGGCTTCTGCTTGCGACCAAGGAATGGTCGAATCGGCTCGATGATGAATGAGGGGTCTCTGGGCGGCATGACATCGTCGCCCGTGCGTTGCAATCCGCGGGGGGAACTGCACGACGAAAACCAGTGCTCGGGGAGTTGTGCTTTCCTATGCTGCTGCTCTGTCCACCGGCACCTTGCATATCCATCATGGGAGGCGACTGCGGTCTGGGGCCTACGATGCCCATTGCCAAAGAAGGATCTCGACGTGGCATTGAGAGTGAGGGAGAAACGCGTGTGGTGCCACCATTCGCCCCGTGGCGTTTGCGCATCCCCTGTTGAGGCGTGCCTTGTTTATGTCTCCCCGGGTACCCCGCCAATGCCTGCTCGATCTCCTCTGCTGAGTAACCAGTGGCCGCCAGATCATGCGTGATATCCTCTCTCTTCGTGCCTTCCTCTCTGGCAGCAGCCTCCCCAACAGAAACCTCCCCACCAATCGGCTCTCCACAGTCCACACCGCCAGTCTCCGCATCAGGGTCACGCGGCAGATCCGACAACGGTCTCAGCAAGTACGATCTGGGCGTCGTGGCAGATAGTCGATGCTGTCCACAAGTCTAGCGGACCTGTGAAACCCGCTCGTCGCCTGAGCCTCCCCTTAGAGTCGTACTCCACTGCACGGTGGGGGCTTGAAAAGGTGGCAGCAGCCGCGGCAGGGCACTAGGAGGACGTGCCCTCAACAGTACCTGCCACGAAAGACGACTGAAGCGTGCCCTCAAGGGCTGCCGGAGTGGGACATTGAGTAGCGGGCTCCCTTGGCTGATGGGATTCCTTGGGTGCGGCAGACGTTGCATCAACCTGCCCCCCCATACCATTCCCTCCCATACCATTCCCCCCCATGCCATCATCTGCACCGGCGCCACCCGACACGACGGAAAACTCGTCTCCACGAATGTTGTGCGAGTCTGCCTCTAGTGCAGGTGTGCCGGCAAGAGGGGGCTCCATCGTCAAACAGGGCGCATGGCGGGAGCATCCGACCTGCAGTGCAGTCGCAGGGGCCTCAACATCCAAAAATACATCCCCTCGATAAGGCCTCGACAACTACGACACATCCCTGAGGGTCGTATCATCGCCCTGCTGGCGAAGCTTATGGGCCAACGCCACTGTAGCCCTCGCCAGGCGTCTGCCCCTCGACTGCCTCCCGAGGCGATTGGCCTCCAGCTCGATCTCCGTCGGGTCGTATGTCCCTAGGGCCATCACTTCCATCTCAAAACGGTAGTAGTCCCTAACCCTCCTCTCCACATCAGTCAATCCGACCCCTGGGAGACCTGCTCCTATAAACCCACCGCGCACGTGACTGCTCTGGAGAAGCTTGAGGTTCCAGTGACAGAACACGAGCTTCTCCAATTGCTCGACACCCAGTCTGTTGCGCCTCTTCGTGTGCACGAAGTCGTTTTTGGACCAATTCCTCTCACAGGGAGAGCCAGTGGTCCACGCACCCAAGCAGCGCATGGCGACATCTCGTAGTATCCGATGCTCACCCCCTTTAAAACTCCACCACTTCACGGGATCAAAGTCAGGCTGCTCGATCTCTGCATCTCCGACGGGTCCCCCCCAATGACCAGGTGTGGGATACTTGGCATACAAGTCCTGCAAAGAACTCCATACGACAGTCATCTCGTCGCCCTCTCAGCCTCCCTCGATTTGGCTTGCAATGTAATCGAGGGCATTTTCCACGAGAATGCGCTCTTGTACTGTCCCTCGCACCAAGGTGTCGATGCTGCGGTACTTGGGGTGCAACAAGTATGCACTGCAATGAATGGGGGTGAGGAGCATATCTGACCTCTCCTTGACTATCTTCTTGATGGGCTTGTGACAAGCCTCGTCAAGAGAGAGTCGATCGACCGTAATCCGCAGCCTCTCTAGCAGACCCCACACATCGCCGACCTTGCGCCCGTGAGAATCAACTTGTTGAAGGAGCTCGTAAATGGGCCCCATAATGGTGGCAGCGAGTTCCGCCTGCTGCCACCACTTCGGATCGCGGAGAAGGTCAAAGCACCTACGTGCGCCGTCCCTCCATGCGGGGAGCCACGCGGTCGTCGCCCAGGCACTGGTGCTAACACAACCATCCAAAAAAGCATGCAACTCCAACATGCGCCTCAACATGATCAAGTTGATCTCGTACCGCGTCTCCCCCGGGCGGATCAAGGACACAGGCGGAGACTGCCGACTCAAGAGGTACGTTGCCCGTGAGTGCTGCCGAAAAAACAAAGTAATATCTCGCCCCTTTGCGATGACCTGCCGACTCAGGAGGTACGCTGCCCGTGAGTGTCGCCGAAAAAATAAAGTAATATCTCGCTCCTTTGCGATGACCTGCGCTACCCACGACTGTTTGGCGATGTGCGTGAGCATCAAATTGCAGCAGTGTGCTGCGCAGGGGATCCAAGCGATTTTTCCCAATGAAAAATCCTGGTCATTACGGAGCAAATGGTAAGCCTCCTTGTTGGCCAACACGTTGTCCGTACATATCGCTACCACATGCTGAGTGTCGATCTCTAGAATGAGCTCCCTCCATCTTAGGTACAGACCTGCTCCAGTCCGCTCCCTACCAAATCCTCAACACGGTAGAGGGATGCATCCAACCTCCCTGCAACCAGGTAGTTCCAGAGAGGGTGGTTGGCCTGAGTCGACCAGCCGTCCGTCATGAAAGTGAACCCCTCGGACCCGACTCGCGGTGATACCGCAAGCGCTCATCGAGCTCCGCTTACAACAGGGACAACAAAGTCGTGCGCAGTAACTCAGACCCCGGTTGATGAGGTCGGTACGGACCCCTGAACTGACTGAGGCAGATATCATGTAAAGCCAAATAGCACTCCAATCTAGCGACCTTGAACGGGATACCACAACCCATAAAAAATTTGATGTACGCCATGTCGAGGTCGTACAAGATGGGGTGCTCGACCCAACCATCGAGACGAGTCTGGGTCACTTTGGGCACTCGGTGCTGAGCCTGTCTCTGCTCCGCAGGGTCTGCCGCCAACCCTTTCTCGAGGTCGGCAGGGACAGGTATGCCCTCATCTCTCACTCGCTGGAGCATCCTCTCCCTCCACCAATGTTGCTCTTCCTACGGAGCACGAGCGGCCCCCTCAGGCATACACTGTCTCCTCCCTGACTGCAAATGTGAAGCACCATGCGGCCTCTTCCCCACCTGATCAAACCGTCTTGCCCTTGAGTGCTCTACATGGTCTGTCTCGTCCCTCTCATCCCCTCCCCCACACGAGCCCTCTCTTGCTCCCTCTACTCTTGACGGCCCCTCTCCTGTTCCCTCTCCCCCTCCACTAGATGGACCCACTGCTCCAGAGGCGCCCACTCCTCCAAAGGTGCACGCTCCATCCTGCCGTACCACCGGTGCCGGACCTTCTCGTTGTGCCCGCCCTCGTCCCCGTGCCAAATCACGCACAAGGAGCGGGGGGGGCTTCCGTGCTACACCGCCAGACAATCTCCAATTGAGGGGATTGTCGAAATCAAGCTCACACTCCCTGTCAGCCTCCCGCACATAGACAGGGAGAGAACCCTTAAAGGCTATGCCTGCCCTTTGCAACTCCCTAAGAATGTACACGCATGCGTGCGGGCACCTGTCATGCTCGCGTGCGGTGTTGAAGTGTTGGGTGGCCTTGGTCTGGTTGCCGACCCACATGTGACCACACAATTTGCAACGTAGCTCGTGATAGCCCTTCGGGTCCGCTCCCGAAGGGCTGGTCTACAACTGGCCCTTCTACACGTATTTCCAGATGACGTGCTTCGGCCGAGGGTCATTCTCGAAGTCTTCGTTAGGCACGAACTCCGGCCTGCGCGCCATGTCTGCGTTCCCTCCCTGCCCTCCCGCCTCTACACACCTGGCCCTACAAGCCTGCGACCCGCCGTGTGTAATTCAAGAAACACGATAATGGACAACGACGTATGCTCCCCTCGATCGTTACTGAACCGATGTCGACGAAAAACGAGAACAGAACTGCACGACCAATCAACCAATCAACATATCAATGAGTTTGTGTGTCGATCCATCATTCATCCGTTCGATGGTGGATCATTGAACTTGGTTGACTGATTGGTTGATCGACTGATTGATCGATTGTTTCAAATGATTGATTGGATGGTTGATTGATTGATAGACTGAACGATTGATTGATTGATTGTCTGATTGATTGATTGATTGATTGATTGATTGATTGATTAGTCGACTGTTTGAGTGGTCGATTGCTTGAATCATTGATTGATTGACTCGTTGATTGATTGATTGATTGATTGATTGATTGATTGATTGATTGATTGATTGATTGATTGATTGATTGATTGATTGATTGATTGATTGATTGATTGA